AAACCGCTCCACAGAAAAGCGTCATAGGCGGAAGTTTAAACACTCGAAACATCTTACGTAAGTCAACGCAACGGGATCCAATCATTGCCAGAGTTATTGTGGCATCAATCATTTCGCAAAATGGCCTTAAAACTATCATGTGCCGAATTCAGTCCTAATGGGAGCTGACCTCCGAGCCGGTGACAAATTATTTGTTAATGCAGCTCAATGTCGGGAACATGGCACGCAGGGCTGTGAGGTTGGGAGCTTCATGTCTCGGCACCGTTTTCCTCGTAGAAGATTAAGGGGATCGGGAATGTTCGAGGTGTTATGAGACTATTCTGAGAAGCTTTGAAGAAAATACAAAAGTAGTCCTTACAGCCGTAATTTTAGAGTTGACATTCTCTAATCTTTAGGACTCAAAATTAAATTACTCTATTTGTATTAAAGGTCTATATAATTTGACTTGCGTAGTTATCATTGTAATGCACTGAGCACAATTTCAGATACCTTGTTTTTAGTAAAGTAGGTACCTTTAAGTGTGGGTGAGCCATGCTTCGGCACGATTGGGCTCCGGCTCGACCGGAGGGATACCACGGCCTCACAGAAAACCGACGTGAAACAACGCTTGGTTTGTGTTTCGTATTGTTGGTGAGGTTAGCGGAGGCCCAATTACCCCCCTCCCTAGTCCCCGTCTCTCAAATCCCCGAATCCTCCACAATCCTCAAATTCCCAATTCCCAAAAGGCTGGTAACAGGCGGCACCGATTGCTTACCATTAGGGGATCCGCTGCTCGTTAACCGGCTTAAACTATAAAAAATACCTCAAAATTTCATTAATGGACATGCCAACTCTTGTGATTGGAACATAATCACTTAATTATAACCTTTACACATTCCAATGAATCATGAAAGATATCTTACATTTTTACATTACAATTACATCACATTCAATTCCAGAACAACCAACGCCGCAATCAAGAAAGTTGGAGGCGGCGACGTATCAACGCAACGGCCTTCGAATTATGAATAATCTCCAGAATAAAAAAAGAAATTGGCAACCCTGTACAAGATGGAGGTCGACCGATATTCTCGTAACATTGACTGAATGACTCATTACACGTCAATCGAGTGGCAGGTTCAATATCAACAAGCTCTTGCGTCAATTCTAGGAACCACGTGTAGGCTAGGATGTATCGGATTCCCGTGGGGCTATTCTGAAGTGGTGTTACGTTCTTGATAGAACATTAGTTTCAGTGTTATATTGCAAGGCTCTTCTGTATGTGACTTTGGGTGGAGTTGCAGGATTGACTACTATCTGTTTAACTGACTAATGTTTATTAGTCAGTGCACTTAAATAAAGAACATATCATACAAGAGAAGCGATTGTTACAGTTGATATTTAATTCTATAATATATAATTATCATTACTAAACTACCTAATTACTATTGCTAACATTGCGGGTAATTGAACCGTATTTGTAAAATTATGGGACACTATATGGTCATGCCCACATTTTGAAAATTGGAATCATTTTCAATTAACCCGAGAAAGTCCCGAACTTATTAATCTTACAGGCACTCGGAACACAGTAAGAGTCTGACACTCCCTTCCGCCTCACCCAGGCGGGACCAGTCATTCGATGATTTTCTCCCCTTAACTCGTCGAGTACCGGTTTTGTAGACACAATTATAGAACAATAGGTTGCGGTCACCGGTGACCGCTTGGTGTTTGACAGTTTAAAAAAAACAAGTCATGACAATAGGGATGATGACAGGGTATGAAAATTAAAAATGTAATTAGTCCGTCAGTTGCAATGAAAAAATATTAGACATATTTTTTAGCTACGGTAGCTACGTCATTTTAGAGTATAAATCGTACTCAAACGTACTCATACGACATTTCAAATAAATATATCTTCGAAATTATTCGTTTCTGTAAAAAAAAAAAAAATACGTGTCTAATGATTTTAAATAATCTACCAGACGGACAGTAAATTTAGTCATCTACCCTATTGAGAAAGAACAACACAATCCCATCACGTTGATAACAATACCTAAGGCAGGACTCGTAAGACCTACCTACTTTATCACAATTCTCACAACTCCTCACGGAAATCTCGTGTAACCTTCTATAGCAATTTAAACACAGATTCCTGGTACCAACGCACGTGCAGACATCATACTTTTTAATCCTCGAAGGAGCAGGCAGAAGTGTAAGTACCAAAAAGGTACATACACAATTTAACATCCATTTGTAACCAGTGAAGTCTTATGTAATTAATGGTGCATTTATTGCCAGAAATAGGTATATCGGGAACAATTAAATAATAGTCAGCGCCAGACCGAAACATTAAAAAAATATACCTAGGTAAAAGTTTGCCTAGGAATGAGAACCCCCTTTACTTGGTGATCGCACCTTTCAACCGTTAGAGCCACGAAACATTTATTATAATAACAAATTCCTTGAAATACCCTTGAACTACCGAGTTATCATTGCGTTCCAATTACTGAAGGATTATGTATAGCAATACGCAGAAATATAATATTATTGTCAATACATTTTGCTATCGGAGCTTTATTCGACGTAATACAATTAAAATTATTCAATAAACCAAGAATTCAATTTTCCTCTTAAACATAACATCACGTCTTTTATCCCCTAAGGGGTAGGCAGACATGCAGATTACGGCACCCACTTTTCAATATTTATGTTATGAGTACCCATGTAATAGGGGGTGAGCCTATTGCTATATACCGAGCACAATTCCAGACTCCGTGCTACCACTGAGATTTTTTTTTTAAATCCCAGTACTACTTTGCCCGACCCGGGAATCGAACCCAAGACTCCTTGCCCGGCAGTCGCACTTGCGACCACACGGCCAACGAGGCAGTCGATTTTCCTCCTATGTATTTTAGTTTTAAACTTAGTTTTCTGTTCTAGTTTCGCTCTTGTTAACATAACTAAGTAAAATGTCTATTCAACCAATTTCTTTCTTTCTAAAATGCCCCTTTGATTCTTTCTTTGTGTCTTGGGTGCGTTTACAAACATATATTATAATTTCAAATACACAACACACTCAGACCCGAAACAACAATCTGTGGGTCATACAAAGAGTTGCTCCGTGCGGGAATCGACCTCGCAAAGTAGCCGTTTGCCCAGCCACCATATTAACCGTACAGTCAAATTATCTTGCAAGTCTCAAAATCTTTACTTTATTTTTATTTATTTAAACTTTAATGTACACAGAAACAAGTAATGGTACATAAGGCGGACATTAATGCCATATAGTATTCTCTCCCAGTCAACCTCAGGGTTAAATAGGAAATCGTCGAAAAAATTTGCTTGTGTACTTAACTACACAACCTAAGAAACAAATAACACCAATTATTTTCACCAAAATCCTACCATATAAAGGATATATATATTAGTACCTAAGGACTTAATATTATAAATCGGAAAGTGAGTTTGTTTGTTTGTGTGTTTGTTCCGCTGTCACGCCGTAACTACTAAACCGATTGCTTTGAAGTTTTGCAGACGTAAAGTTAGAAGTCTGGATTAAAAAACGAAATCATTAGTATAGATGGCACTGTGTGCATATGTCACATAGGTTACTTTTTATCCTTTTGTGACGCGAGCGAAGCCGCTGGTAAAAGCTAGTCCTAAATAAGATAAGAAATGCCTAACAGTGCCTAACTTATTAACTATGGAAATCGGTGAGTAGATATCAACAAGATCTGATAAATTCAAAATTTTATAAACTCAGGTACAAAATATGGGTAGGTTAGCGAAGAGCTTCTAATCACGTCTTGGGAAACTCGACAGCTTTGAGGTATTGCTTTATAGACGCAGCGATGACCTATCACGATTATTATTGTATGAATTTGTATGCATCTGTGACCTCCCTCCTGCTTCTAGCGCTTATATACAGGCAACAGATTATCTAGGTAATTGTTATACTCCTTAGTATACCCGTGACCGGGTGCCTTATGCTTGAACAGGTCGACTCGCTCATCGTGCTGGTAGGCTGATTCAGTAGGGTTAGTGTTTAAAAGATTATAAATTAGGTAACAAAATAAAGTACTGTGTGTAGTGAGATTAGAGGTTGGCGTAGCATGTAAGATCTTTATAAAAATTATTTGACCATGAAAATCATGTAGGTAATAATCACCTACTTGTAATATGACAAAGGCATGGACACAAGTCCGTGGAGAAATTCAATTTATTTATTAAAAAAACTCCTTAGTAAATATGTACTTATTTAGTTAGGCGGCCAAGCACTTCTTTTCTTGAAAGTGTGAATGTCATAGGTACTTATTGGTTTATAATCAAGCAATCGAAAGCTCAATGAAAATCTCTATATGCAACTGATTGCCTAACCAGCCATACAGTCATAATGACTACAAAAACCAAATTAACTGTCAAAGGTAAACAATACCTAAACAGATACCTACGTACCCAAATACTATGTCACCTAGACACACCACGTAGTACTACGGGTCGGTGTCCACGGCCATGCGGCGACCTTCCCGACATGTCACGCGTGCACAATCAATATTAATATGTTTTTGTTCACCCATCATATTCCCAGGCAAGGAAACAGGAATAGATTGTAAGTGAGATAGAAACCCTGAAAACTCAATGCTAGCTAAAGCAGGGTCAAAAAATAACAAGAAAATTGTTGCCTACTTTATGGGGATTCAGTTAATGATTTAATGAAACGATGAGTGATGCTTTAATTCTAGGCTCCTAAGGCCACATAGTGAGTTCTTGACTATATGGTTAGCATGATCACTAGGCGACCAGTTGCTGCGCTTAGTGCTACGGATTCGATTCCCACACGGAAGAATTCTTTATTTCCTCAACCTCGAATGATTTAATAGCGACATCTCTCGCAGTATTGTGAAACTAATTGAACAGTGAATCTTGCTTTTGCTTTACACAATCAATAGATGGCGCTAGTAACTATAATTTTTTACATCTAATTTGTTAAGAAATAAATAATAAACTACATATTTTGATCACATTGAGTAATTTTATTATATATTACTTACAATTCATTAACATAATCCATTATAAATATCGTCCTATACATAAAATGATTATGGTCATTCATAATTAGAATCTTTTCTGTACAATGTACAGGCAAACGGCTAGAAAGAATAGGAATGCGAAGAACATGATAACTTTGTCGGTGAATTCACGTCGTCCATATTTCTTTAACAGTTTGCTAGATTCTGATATAGTGCTAGCTGTGTTCTGTAGCTCTGATTGAGTGCCCTGGAAAAGAAAAGAGATAGAAAATAAGAAAATACTATACCTCATTGCTAAAATTATTGACAGACGAGAGAACACAAGTAAACAAGAACAAAGAATATTAATTTCTAATACCACAAAGCTTCACAAAGTTATTATTGAAGCATAATTAATAAAAGGTACCACGAAATATATTTCTTACATATGATTTATTGACTTACATGCACAGTAGAACTGGAAGAGACCAAGCTGTCCAGTGTGTCTTGGCTCCTCTGAGCCGTGTCCGCTAGCTGCCGGCTAATGGATAGCAGTTGTTCAGTTACACCTATAAAAGACAATAAATCATAATTTAACTATAGGAAAGGATTCCTTTGAACAAATATAAGATTCCTACTAAAAACTGTTTAACCTGTGCATGGCAGAATGCAGATTTAAGCCGGATACAATATTTTTTCTATTATTCCTGTATATGAGATACAGGAATACAAGTGAATAAAGATATACATATATTTAAAAATAAATAAAAACAAATGTGTGTATGTATATATGTATGTGTGTATGAATGCATGCATGTGTATTGTGTTGTACTCGTGTGTAGGTATATATATTATAATTATGTTGAAGTATTTATGTTTATCTCTGAAATATGTAAGTGTATCTATTTTATTTGCTCTATTAAATAATTGCTTGCTTCTTGCTCACACCATTAACTCTTCTCTGCATCACCCAAAGGAGAGAATGCCTGCGGCATTAAGTCCACCTTGTGTACATTTTGTGCATGAAGCTTTAAATAAATAAATAAATAAATGTACTCTGTGGTAGTCTAATTTCTTTCTCTAGAGTCGTTAGAACATTGATTAAGTCTACGATTTCTGTAAACATTTATTACTTTTAATAAATGATTCGTAGGAAAGAACCATTAATTAATGATAAAAGATAATCATATCTGGCTGCTACTGAATCAGTAACTGTCCTGATTAATTGTTTAATATAATATCTCTATTTATCCCAACACACAGTCATTTCATCTTTGTTCTATTTACCTATGGCACCCTGCCAGTACACATGCTACTTATTTAAAGAAACTCATCAACTGCTAATAGTCGCACAATAGTCTTTGTAACATATTAAAAAATATAATAAATATAATATGCTAAAGTGGAATCAAGACTTGTAATAGAACAATAATAATAAATAAATTAATCTGTCAGTTTGTACATAAATAAAGCACGAGTCATTGAAATGTCTGTGAGACATTATTTAAGAATGTAAATAGGTCAATGTTTATACATGTGTATAAGAAATGCATTGTCGTTGACAGACAAATGAGTTTAAAACACACAAACTGGTGAAAGTAATAAATCTCTCGTTCTCTTTATCTTGTTTTCTAAGTAAAAATTTAAAGAGTAACACAGTACCTAAAAATAAATTATGTTGCCCATTATTGAGAAGACAAACACAATTTTTAAAACTCATCCATTTTGATTGCAGAATAATAAGAATCAATTCAACTATTTAGAATTGAAAGCTGACTAATCAATCCCCAAGCGGTCACTGGTGGCCGCTTTCCACTAACTCTATTATAGACCTGATTTCTGATATTTAGAGAATTTCGGGTACCATATATCAACATATGAATGTGTTAATAACCTCACAATAATAATACTATTTAGCAAATAAGGAAATCAAAATACTACCTGAAGACATTTTAAGCAGTCCATCTCTCTCCACCTTGGTCTTCCTGTTTCTGATTCCTGAATCATCTCTTTCGCCAGCTTTTAACAATTCATCTCTTTCGGATTTCTCAATAGCAAACATACTCATTATGTTGGCCTCTTTGAATTCTTTTAGCAGGCTGGAAATAGATAAGACAAAAATTTAGCCAGTAGTAAAGAAATAATAATAATAACCCATGAATAATGTAGGACTAGTATTTGTATTTGAGTGGTAGGGTGGAGCAGATTAAAGCATTGATGATTTACCTTAAACCTAATAACACTATTAAGTAATAATCAAGAATGGATGCAACTAAACTTAAACAGATAACTAGGACTTTACAATTTCATCAAAATACAAGTATGACTAGGATTTATGTAGGTGGGATTATTGATAAAATAATAACTGAAGAAATCTCATGTTAATCCTTAATGACAAGTCTTAAGAGTTACACTTACCAAGCAAGTTGATGCCTTTGTGACTCCACTTCAGTTGCATATTTCATATCTCCTATATCCTTGCCGTAAATTTCAAAATTCTCCAGTTCATCCCTCAGCAGAGATATAGCTGCCCTGCCCTTTTCGTTGAGCTTGTTTAAGCTTTCCATTGAGTCTCGACATGCTAATATTTCCTGTAAATGATGTCAGTCATTTGTAAAACAATAAGATACAAATAATGAAGTATTCATACGTCATCTACTTTGAGAAAGTAGTTTATTACGCACTCTACTACTTTAAAAATACGTGAAGCAAACTATATTTACACCAAGATGAACACTTTTTATAAAAATAGTTCTTAATTACAGGAAAGGTTAGAGAAGAGAAGATTTCAATTATTTACGATGCTTCGTGCTAGTTCCACGTCTCTAACGTACAAGATGATAAATATGATACTCTATAATACAAATAAAGATTTCACACTGGTGTTATCAGTCACAATTACCTGAATTATATTTTTTACTGTAAAATAATGCTTCGAAAGAACTTTCAGATAATTCTGGTATGCTGTATCTGTCGGGTCTAATTTTTGAAATAACTTGCTGTACGCACTGCTACCTATTTCTCTTTCTGCTCTCAAATTCATGTTGTTGGTTACAATATCGTAATATTTTATTTACGCTAGCCTGTTTTTTTATTTTGAAAACTTTTGTCGGAGTGTCATCAAATCAGTCGGGCTGACGTTAATATGTCACTGTCAATGACGTTCAATTTACTGACGTTTAGTACTCGAAAAATGACTCCTTTACACGAAAAAAAATAATACGGAACATCCAGCTTAAGATGTGGTGTAGGTACTGGAACGCGGATCCTAGTATGTTAATGTATTTTCTTTTCGTCTCCTAATGATTAAGTAAATTTAAATATTTTGTTTTTCTTAAGTTACAATTTATAAAATTATAACAAGCTACGTCTGAGGTTTCCGTACAATTTGGAGTAGATGTTTAATAACTTTTGGGTACTTTCATTACCTAAGTAATTTATTACATACCTACGTACCTTCTTTAAATTCAACATCAGTAGTAATAGGTATCTTCTAATTTCAAAGTGGAATATTTTTCGGGTTGTTAATATTACCTTACGAATTTTACAGAAACAAAAATATAAATAGTCAATTATGCCTGTTACTCATTTGTATCGTTATTACACAAAGAATAACAACTACAAAACCTTTAAAATATTGGTTTATTTACTAAAAAAAATAATCTGCAGAAACATTCGTTAATAAATACAAATACAAAACATTATACAAAAATATGATGAGTCCTAAAGAGAGCCACGAAATAATTTACTCCTTTAACGCCACACAAATTTAAATGATTTAACGGTAATTATTGAGTGATAGTGATATCGTCCACAAACTCGTCATAGACATTATCGTCCAGGTACAAAGTATGATATCCTTGATAACCAGTCAACTTTCTTCGACATGTGGGACACACAGGCTTCAGTATCAACGCCTTTTGCAGACAATTTCGGCAGAATACGTGCCCACACTTGGTTGAAACTACAGAATCTTTGCCCAAATTGTTGAAGCAAATAGGACAACGAATCCTCAGAAGCGATTTACGTTTTGATTTTGCCTGTAAAAAATATTTAGCCTAGAGTAAGGTTCATATTATAATGGTGCCTACCTACAACTTGTAAAAGTATTGTGGCTCCAGCCGTGCTACCTAGCCCGTTCTATGAATATTTGTTTGATTGTTTGGAACAGACATAATATTAAATTTCCCCCAAATCCTAGTGCGATACAACTAAGAAAATTCAAAGGTCTTACTTTTTTCCTCTGTTTTTTAGATTTTTTCTCTTTCACTGGTTTCTCCTTTGCTTCTGGTATTCCTGGCGTCATTCCTATGTAGCAATGTTTTGTAGTCTTAAGTGTTAGAGATATTTTCATTAGTATTGTAAAATCATTTTACAAATAATTTAAGACGTCAGACATTATTTTGACGTAACATCTGACAGACTTATCTGTACAAAAAAAGCTATTATCTATTTCTTGCTTGTAATACTTATTCAACAAGGAGATCAATAGACCAGCGTGCACTTCCCAGAGTAGCTTCTAAGTTAACATCTAACTCCATATTTCACGCCAATGTATTAGGTAATTTATAGTCATTTGAATATCAAATATGTTTTAATTTTGTGTGTGAAATATAGGTAAATAAAATCATATCGAACTAAACATGTACTTATACTTGTTTTTAAAAAGGGTTGGTCAAAATAAATAACACTGCTCTTAGTAAATGCATTGTATTAAATGAATAGTTACAATATCACTGATCAAGAGAAACCTTCGTGTACAAATGTAAACTTAGTTTTACTTGTCTTAGAAGCATTTTTACAGTTACTTCTCAATAATTTTACTAATTTCTTTGGTCCACAGCAATATAGGTTAAGATGGTTCCTGGAAAAAAGAAACAATACATATTTTATTATTAAGATTAGACACAACTAGAATATTGTAGATAAGACTTAGACATAAATTATTTTTAGGGAGGACCTAAAATGTTACCTTGAGGCATACCCTTATTTTCAGTTACCTATACACATTGTAGCCAATACAATATTGTAATGTTGAAGCTTTCATTTAACCTACATATATGATTAAATAAACATAAAAACTACACCTAGACAACATTTACCGCTAGGCTAACTTTTAACATTATAAAAGTACCTAATCAAATGCTTTGGTAGAAACTAAAAAATATGTATTTCTTGTTACATTCAGTACTTTAAGTTTATATGAGTATTTGTACAAAATAATATTTTAAATAATAACTTACTCAGGATATAAATGCACCCAATATCCAAAAACTCTATCCCAGTGAGGCCTTCCTCTTCTAACTCGACAGCCAATCAGAGGATACTCTTTCGCTATATTATAATTATTGTCTTCAGTTCTTACTGATTTCTCACCAATAGTATTTCTTTTAAGATTCGGAGTCAACAAAGTCACTTTCTCATCATCTCCATCTCTCTTCAAGACATGAGTTAGACCTTTCTCATTGATCACAACCATGTGTGCTACAGGATTATCTTCTTTATTACTATTGTTCTTAAGTTCATTTTGTGTGTTAGTGACGTAAAATTCTATATGCAGTCTGTCTGGGCGGTTTGCGTTACGTAATTGTAATAACGTTTTATTTGCTAGGCATGCGAGCCATGTGAGTTCGTGTTCGTATCTTACTATCCAGAGGAGATGAATTCGTCCAGGTAGGCGGTTGCGTGGATTTCTGGAATAAAGGAAAATCATTTTAATTTTATAGGACTTAAGGTAGAAAGTTGTGGGTGTTTCAAGCAGTTGAACTTACAATAAAAGGTCATGTAACACAGCTACAAATGGCGTGATCCCCACTCCAGCTGCTACGCAAATCGCTACATCATTTCGACAGACGCTCTCCATAGGACTCGAAAACGGTCCGTCTACCAGCACACTGAAATATTTAGAATAAAAATGAGTTACTTATTGTACAAGCAAACAAGTGCATGACACTAGGTTATACATAATATTCTAATCCCATTTAAAATGGACCCTTTTTAAGCGTAAATTACGTAAGGTTTTTAACAGAGGCTCTTTAGGACATCAAAGTGAAAGGAAGCAAAGCAACCGATGAATCAAGTTGACATTTAAATGATAACTTTTAAGTTTGTAAATAAGTTCTAAGTAAAATTTTAAGTACCTTAATTCACTCGCCCTTCTCTCTAACAACAGTTTTTCTAATGATTCAGTCCAATCGCCTTTTATTCTTATCCACACAACGAAGCTTCTTTGGTATGTTGTAGGAACCTGGAATGATAAAATAAATATTATGAAATGGAGATGGCCTGATACAGAAGTAAGAAAGAAAAATAGTTATTTGTATCAAAAACGATTTTCTTTTCAGCTTTTTCAGTTGTTTAATAAATTGTTACTATTGTATTATAATTTACGTTCATGTGCCGATTAGAACTTTCTTTTCTATGTTACGTTTGCTTCCTAGAGTTTACAACTGCATTAGACTCTAGTGCATTCCTAGATGCCATATACTATAGGTATGACATTCATGACATAAAGATCACCCAAATTTAAAATTGAAAAAGAAGATAATGAATAACTAATTTTAAGACAACTATCATAACCATTAAGGTATGCATCATGAAGTCCTTGTAGAAAAAGGTGACGTCCAAAGCCCTTATAAGTCATCAGATGCACCATGCATGACCAATAGTACTACACAATAATCTGTCCAAGAATTATAATTAGACCCAACTATCTAAATATGTCACCAAAACCAATTGTTGACAAGCAAATGCGCTTAGTATGATTGCTAATGGGTCAAGCACCATATAAAGAAACCATCCCACCCACGCATTTGCTGATGATCAAATAGTTTATTCTAGTTATATGTTGACGTCATAAAGGTTTGACAGATTTATAGAAGCGGGGGCAGAAATTATTGTGGATATTTTGAAAGCCCTGGGCCATGATGGCCTTAGCATTGAGCATCTACGATACGCGGGTCCGCATTTGCCTAGAGCATTGTCCATGTTTTTTGCATTGTGCATAAGTCACGCGTATTTGCCAGCCGAAATGTTGAGGACTCTAGTAGTACCTGTTCCGAAAAACAAGACTGGCGATATGGCCGATAAAAATAACTATAGACCTATATCATTGGCGACGATTGTTTCGAAGGTGTTTGACAGTTTGCTTAACACGCAATTAAATAAATGTATACAACCTCATGATAATCAATTCGGGTTTAGGCCCGGATTGTCTACAGATAGTGCTATCTTGTGTCTTAAGCAGACTGTCAGATATTATATGGATAGAAAAACGCCCGTGTATGCTGGATTTCTCGACCTCTCAAAAGCGTTTGATCTGGTTTCCTACGAAGTTTTGTGGAAGAAGCTCAGTAATACGAAATTGCCAAAAGAACTTATTAATATCATCAAGTACTGGTACAGGGGCCAGGTCAATTGCGTCAGATGGGCTGGAGTCAGGTCGGACGTGTACGGGCTGGAGTGCGGGGTGAGACAAGGTGGACTGACATCGCCCACCCTCTTCAGCCTGTATGTGAATGACTTATTAGAGGAGCTCAGCCGCACTAGGTTAGGTTGCTACATAGATGGTGTGTGTTTAAACAATATTAACTATGCCGATGATATGGTGTTGTTGAGTGCGTCACCCTGTGGTCTCAGCAAATTGTTAGGGATTTGCGAGAGGTATGCGCTGCAGCACGGGCTTGTGTACAATGCGAAAAAGAGTGAGGTTATGGTCTTTGGGACCGGCGGAGGCGGTGCATTTATCCAGATGCCTACTATTAAATTGAATGGTGTTCCTCTACAGAGAGTACAACAATTTAAATATCTGGGGCACTGGCTGACTGCCGATCTCAAGGATGATACGGACATTGAACGGGAGCGGAGGGCGCTGTCTGTACGCGCTAACATGATTGCCCGCAGGTTTGCGCGCTGTACGACTGAAGTCAAAGTTGCCTTATTTCGTGCATATTGTACTTCGTTTTACACGTGCGGTCTGTGGGCTCATTTTACACAAAAAGCATACAGCGCCCTTCGAGTTCAATATAATAACGCTTTTAGGGTGCTGATGGGGTTGCCCCGTTTTTGTAGTGCCTCGGGAATGTTTGCAGAAGCCCGCGTAGATTGCTTTTATACAGTAATGCGTAAGAGATGCACATCCCTAGTGCGGAGGGTGAGGGGTAGCAACAACAGCATCCTGAAAATGATATCTGGCCGACTGGATTGCGCAATAGTAAATAGATGTTGTCGACTGGCCGCGGGACTTGCGCCGTGATTTTTGTACTATGACATTTTAGTTAAATTAAATAATATAATTAATGACATGATTTTGTGTTGTCCTGTCTGTATTTATTTTTGTGTATTGTATATTCTTGTATATTGACCTCTGTATTTCATTGTATTGTCATTGTATATTAAATCATATATATAATGTGTACTAACATTAGTTTTTAAGTTCAATGTTACTAACAAGAATATGGACATGGTCTGAAATAAATGATTATTATTATTATTATTATTTAGACGACTGCCCGCTGCCCGAATGCCCACTATTGGTTTGAACATAAAAAAGTTATTGGTAGACGATTTCCTCGTACAATAGGTCCCATAATTTTAGTTGATTTGGGCCTTGAGATGAAATGCCGACCATTACTTAATTGAGGTTATCTAAGAAGTTACTTGTAGTATATTTTTTCCCCATGCATTAGGTCTCATAATTGTACAGTGTTTTTGGTTTATGAATGTATGGGGGAAACCATACTAATATTATAAATAGGAAAGGATAAGTTGTTTGCATTGAATAGGCTCTGAAACTACAGCACCGATTTCAACAATCTTCTATTAAGTTTTTCAGGAAGTTCCATTTTATAGACTATATTTTAAACAGAGAGTAGAAGAGAGAAAGATGAGATTTACCATTGTGAAGTGGGTTATTACACAAGTTCTTCATGTATTCTTTGCATATTTCTTTACCTTTGTAGTTAAGTTGCGTAATCTAAATGGTTTCTCTGGATACACCATTAATCACCATTACGAGTACTCTAAAGGCGATACATAAAAACCCCAATTTATTTGAACTCAAATAAATTCTACCTATTGTATTGTCTACGATACTAATAATTTATTTACGAAATGAGTGATCTTCATTCTTAAGGCTCGCTAGCGTCGTTAAAGGCTTGGATAATGATAAGTTTAACTCGTCGAGTACCGGTTTTGCAGACACAATTATAGAACAATAGGTTGCGGTCACCGGTGACCGCTTGGTATTTGACAGTTTAAACATTAAAAACATTTAATAGTCAAGATTTTCAAATGCCTTCTATTATAATTTGAAATTTGCATTTAATATTATATTACCCCGAGGGAAAGAGATATCTATATCGTACAGTCAGTACCTAGTCTTTATTTTAGCCAGTTATCGCCACATTTTTATTAAAATTTTCTT